TTTCTTACGTAACTATTATGATAATCACAAGGCAAGCAGCTGCTTATGCTCCTTTTGATTTCCTTCTTACTCTTCCTCCCCTCCAAGCAGGGATGAGACGAGTTAAGAAAGTCACAAGGGATATGTGAATACTGTCTATAGCTTCTGGGAATAAAGTGTATTTAGAGCAGTAGTTCAGGGACCAGCTGAAGGTTAACTACATCTGCCCTACTTCATATCTGACTCCATTCCTTTCAAGCTTTCAGTTGTCAGAATATTCAGAAACAGCATTAAGGTGTTTGTTATGGACATTTGGGCACCTAGAGATCTGCTGGCAGCAGTCTGTTGATGTTTAAGGATCTGATTTTGAGTACAAAAGAATAGGCAACACCCCAGAACCTGCAGAGGTAGAGCAGGAGACTCTGAGCACACACCTATTTGCATAGGTTTGCCTTTGTCCCTGCAGAGCACAGCAAAACAAGCTTGGGATGCTTGTGGCAATCCCTTTGTTTTGGAGCTCTGCTGCTGTGTTTAAACCCAGACCTTCTCAGATTATCCAGCTGCCAAGCACCAGAAATCTCACTTCTCTATGCTTTGTGAGTGAGGTCATGAATGGAACTTGCTAGCAAAAATCTGGCAATAAAATACAGTTCTAATATACACATATTTGTCTATATAACATAGACAAATCTAGCATTGTCTGCCTTTTTCTAGCTCACAAACCTCATTCCTACAGCAAATCTCAAACCTTTTTCTGAGGTAAACAGGACATCTCTACCACTCCTATGCTCCACAGAGAGGGAAGTATTTGTTTTTAGAAGGTATGTTGTGAAAGGAACTGTCTTTTCCAAACAAACAGATGCAAAGAAATCAACAGGAGCACCTGCAACTTCCGACCAGGATCCTAGAATATTGGAACCCAAGTATTAATAAATAAATATATATTCTGATTGTTACACTACATCTGACTGCTTTTGTCCTGTCTTCATAAGCAACATTTTCTAGTTTTCTCATGAGTGGAAGGAAGGGCAACTTTTCTCTTGAGAATGCACCTACTGTTAGAAGTCTGCAGTGACCTCATTCAGAGTTATTTCCATAGCCACAAGCTGTTTGCTTTTGAGTTGCTGGTGGTTTCTCAAGGAGCAGTAAGAACCCAAAATAGCTTAGCATGGGCCAAGCTCAGGCCACTGCCACCCATTTTTCTATAGTTAATATCTATCAAAGGGCTTCCTGTTGCTCTTCCCAGGTTCTCCCTAACTCAGCTTCTGTGTCTTGCCAGACAGAGGAACTGATCTGGATTGACCTGCCTTCCTCTGCCCTGCACACAGGTCAGCCCTGGCCTCACCAGTCCTGTGTATGGTTTTGCAAACACCATCCCCCTCGGATGAGCACTGGGGCCCAGGGCTGGCTGAACCATCCTGCCTGGAGAGGTCTTTGCTCACAGAGTAAGAATTCAAGTCTCAAAAGGCCTTAGCAAGCAGAAATGGCTCGCTGAAGAAAGGATCTGCTGAGAGACCTCATTCCAAAACGGAAACTCAGCTATCTATTATAGAGCTTTTTAATAACCCAAAGGTATGCAACAGAACAACAGAATGCAGGTTGGTGTGTGTGGTTTTCTTGGGGTTTTTTCCCTTCTTTGTTTTTTTGGGTTTTTTTTTGTTTTACTAGAATAGATCTGAAGAGCACAGGCACAAAGTATTCACTTACTCCTGGCTGAATCACCAGGAAACATGCACTGAGATGTCATGTGCATGTCATGTGCTTGTATAAATCACTGCTGTAAATGTGCCTGAACTGAGGTGAGTGCCCAGGTAAACACCCCCTGTTCAGCTGTGCTGGGTTTGTTCAAACTCATGTAATTGCTGCCTGTGTTACCATGACAAAAGTTTAGCACAAAGTACTGAACAGATTATACACAGAGCCCATGTTTTAGCATCTTGCTGGATATTGCCTTCAGCCAGCTCAGGTACAGCTGCCACTGCTGCAGCCACACCTTCTGGCTTTGGGGTGCACATACAGTGCAGTGCCAAGCTACACATTCAGATCATTGCCACAATGGAGTGATGATTAATCCAGGATTGAGGGAATACATAAATCTTCTCTCCTAATTATTATATAGTCACAGTTAATTACAAGGGTTTTTCCCTAATTGAAATTATTCTGCTGTCACTTCACATAGGAGGATTTAGCAAGGAAGAGCAGAACTAAGTGAGCCATGGTAATTACTTGTAACACAGAGCTCTGCCTGCTGCACACAGGATCTGTTCCTGAGTCTTTGAAACTTCCTACAAATGACCAGTTATTTTCATCTTGATACATACACCTTCCAGCTCTTCTCAATTTTCAGGTGTTATTTCAAACAATCGTTTATTACAGATTTGTTTGCTACTGTTCATTGACCATTCATACTGTCCTTGACTGACTTTTTCTTCCTGTAATTATACAGAGGTAAAGCTACAGACTATCATAATATTCTTTTTAAGTGGGTAAAAAGCAGATTTCTTCAGAGCAATAAACAGTCCTCAGTTTTGTATTCTCATTTATTGTACACAGGTTTAGCCTCAGATCTTTCCTTGATTTTGATGCCACCAAGTACAATTCAGTGAGTGCTCCCTGACTTTCAAGTTTAGCTGCCTAACCTTCAGCATTTAAAAACCATGCTGATATATATAATCCACATGTCCAGTGATGACAAATAAAAAATTCAGCCAGTTATAGTAAGGGGGGTCAAGTTTATGTAGTTAAACTGAAAAAAATACCCCAAATCCCAAGCCAGAACAAAATTTTCAGTGACTAGTGTGGCACATTACAAATAGAACCACTGTACTAGTCCTTCCCCTTTAACTACACAGTTGTCTGATTTTCGTCAATGTCCTGTAAAAATATTTGTGAAATGATAAAATGAAATATTATAGATTTGAAAAATTCTATTGATCTATAAACACACTTCTTGATACAGATAAGTGTATGGGAATTTTTATCCCAGTTCCGAAGCCAGAAAATCAAACTGCTTCCCTGACAAATGTCTGTTACTCACTTCACACTGCAAATAATCAATGTATAAATCAGCAGTGGCACTTCCCAAAACCACCTTTTGCACTTTCATTTCTCTTACAGGTAGTGAATCATCAGAGATCTTTCCTAACACTGTTTCTTTATACTGTCATTAGCACCCAGTGATACCAAAGGAAGTTGGTGCCACATACGTCCCTGTACCAAAGATCTTGTAGTCTCAGGAGCTCATAATCAAAACTTCAAACTCTCTTGGAAGAGGAGAAAGTCCCACCACAGCAGTGTGTGCCAGACAGGCGAGTTGCTCACACAAAAGCATGACAATGTGAAGCGAGCAGGCTGCTCCTTTGGCTGCAGAGGTCCCACAGAGGTGCTTGTGAAGCAGCAGCTCCACACTGGATTTGCCTATCTGCTGCCATCCCAGGGAGAGCACGATTCCTCATCTGAGCCATAGCAGAAACCTTGTGTGAGGCCACACACAGACTCTGATGTTTAACTGCTCAGGCAAGTGTTTAGCCTCAATCAGCCAATTTTCGTCCTTCCAGGAAAAACAGACAGCTGGACCTCTCACTTCTTTCCAAATATTGTTTTGCAGTAGGTTGTGTCTGTTACTGCTAATGTACTGGCTTAAAAGCACCTGCTGTAGAGTAGCATTTCAATCACCAGGCAGGACAAGATAGGAAAAAACCCCAACACAACAAACTGGAGAAAGTCCCAATGAGATACTAGCAGGATAAGAAAGTGATTGCTCCACAGATGATTGCTAAAACCACAAAATACCTTGGGAATGATGAGTTAAGGAGACTGTAGAGAAAGCATAATTGGCTTACATTGTCAGAATAAACACCATCACACTTAATACAGCTCTGTATCTGAACTCTTTGCCTCTTTCCCTTCCTGAAGGGACATGTAAATATCAATAACAAAGAGCTGAAGCTGCAGAAATGTTTTGGATGCTTCATGACAAACCATCTTTGGAAAAGGTTACCATGTGTAGCTTCAATGTATTTTAAATTCATCATCCAGCTGTTTGTTAGGATAACTCCTAATGATTTGTGAATGAACAAATGGCAAAACGATGAAGAAATAAAGAGCAAAACACAGAGAATTATACATGAGGCATTTAAATCAATGACAGAGCAAAGGAATAATTGGAACAGGAAATCACAAATGCAGCTCCAGAGTGAAAATCACTGTATATTTAATCAGTTGTATCATGTCCACCTTGAGGTTCTGTCATTTGGTCCACAGTGTGGAGTGGTGAAGATGTCACAGGACTTCATGGTGTCCTGGGGGAGAAGGAGGGGACAGAGGAACACTGATGGCTCTGAGGGGATGCAGGACTTGGGGGGATCACCTTGGCTCAGTTCTGGCACTGTGCAGCTGAAGAAAACTCCTCCTTGTGCCCACACCTGGGGGAGAGGGAACAGTGGGGATGGAGGGACCAGGGCCCAAAACCTGACCCATGTTTTACTGTCATCTGAATAAATGTATCTGAACCCCAGAATCTCAAGGGGTCTGGGAGGTGGCTGGGGGCTGCAGAGAGTGGCTCAGGGCTGGGTACAGTCATCTGTGGGTCAGGGTACCCAGGATATGTACCTGATTACACCACAGGGATTGTCTGGGCTACTGGGGCCACTGGGGATGCAAACTAGGGACCATTGAGGTTAGTTTGTGCCTGATGGGAACAACTGGGACCACTTTGGGGTGATGTGGGGCACTGGGAGCAAGCAGGGGTACAACTCAGGGTCTGAAGGGGCCATTTTGGGCCTTGCAGATGCAATTTGGGGCTGAGAGGGGCATTTTGGGTGCTGTTTTGATCCACAAGACTAGACAGTAAGAGTGAAACAGTGAATGAAATGAACAGATCAAGCTGTGGCATTTCCTTTGCTTGTTAAAAAGCACAGTGTGACAGAGACTTGCCATGGAGCCTGCAGCAGTAATGGACTAAGGCTTTTCAAGTATTTCAAATATACAGGAGAAGGCATAATGAGAAACACTACAGCAGCTTTATTTGGACTTGTACTCCAGTACTTAGAGTGCAAGTTTACCTTTATTAATCTAGTAAGTTGTGGCAATTAATTAGGGATCAGTTCCCTTTCAGGATGATATAGAGTACAGGCAGAGTAATGGCAAACATAGCACACGTCAGTGCAGTGCTGTAAATAGAACTTCTCTTGATTTGCGTTTCCAGTCTGCGCTCCGTGTCACACAGCTCCAAAATCACATCTCTCACAGCAGCAGCCTGGCCCTTGCCCTCCCCTGAAGGCCTTGGCATCACTCTTTCTGTAGGTCGGGACTGGATGGCGAGTTTGACACTCTGCAGCTCAGACAGCACCTGTGTGATACTTTCCTGCAGACTGTTAAACTGCTGTTGTAAACTCCCTAGACATGAACTGACTTGTTTAATGTAATTTAGCTGCTCGTTTAAAGGCATTAAAAGAGAATCTATTTTTATGGAGTCATTCCTGGTTTCTCTAGTTAACAAAGCCCCTTCTTTCCCTCCCTTCGATGCCGTTGTTTGCAGCACATTTTTTAGGTCTTCTATGACATCACTGAGATCTTTCTGCTGCAAGTAATGGCTGGAGGCCTGTTCTTTGATGGCTTCTTGTAAATTGGCTGGGCCCTTCTGTGCTTCAAGCACCAAGACTTTCAATTCTTGCAGCCTTACTCGATTGACATAGGTGGAACCAAGAACACCTATAACAGCTCCCAGCACAGAGCCAATAATAGACCAGTTCTTTGTTTTTTCAGCTCTTGTGCGCTCCTTCTCGTGGCTTTCCCTGACAGCTGCAGAGAAGAGAGAGAATTTTTCTCTCTCAGATTCTTCTGCATTTAAATATGCAGCTCGATACCTCTTCTCTTCCTGCAAGAAATAGAGTGATGAAAAGAGAAGGTATAATATGAAGCTATAAATCTGTACTAAAAGAAAAAATAACCCTAACCAACCCCCAAGCCCCAGTGCACGTGAAGGAATGGAAACTGGGAACATCTATTAGTAGTTTCAGACATTTTCCCTTGACTGTGGGATTTTCTTTATTAATCCTACTTAAGTCAATGAGGCATCATTTTAAGTCTGAGAAATGGATAAGGTTTTCAGGAATCACAGCTGAAGATCCTGTACATGAGAATCAGCCACGTGATGATAGAAAATGGGTATGAGTGAGCAAGGTCTTTCACTCCCCATAATGTTCACTGTTGCAGCCCTGCTAACTTCTCCAGACACCAGCAGAAAGCAGCTGAGAGAATTTCCATGGATTAGCCAGAAAAGAATTTCTCTCATCCCATGGAGAGTTAATTCATTGAATAGCAGCTTTTTCTTAACTACTCATGTACAGGTCACCACTACAACAATTAATTATCTAGGCTCATTATCTTCAGTTTGATTCTCCAAATTTACTACTCTACTTTAGCATTAACATATAAAATTTGCACAGGGGTTCAAACCATTGATAATAAATAATAAGTAAAACAAGTACCCTCAGAAATTAACTCTGATCACTTCAGAACTGAACTGCATCTACAAAAACAATCAATCACTAGTGAAGGAAGCAAAGCACACAAATTTTCAGCATATTCACCAATGCTTAAGTGCCAACAAATTACCTGCAGCAACCTGTGTTCCAGAGTAGCCAGTTCTAAATACTGGGTGTCATCCCGAGAGACCCTGTCTAAGCGATCCCGAATCTCCTTCAGTTTAATCTGTTGGGCTTCTACATTTTCACGAGCCTCTCGTACTATCCCTCGAGCTATCATAAAGACATTTTCTGCCTGAGAAGAAAGAGCATTTATTTTAGAGACTTACTACCATACAGACCTAAATTGCTAATTATACTTTTTTTTGTGTGGGGAGGAAAAAAACCACCAATCAAATAAAACACACTCTATTTCAATTCAGAGGATAAGCTATATTTACTACATGCATAGCCTAGAACACATTCACAGTACCTGCACAGACAGCCAAAGCAGAGAAAGACATAATTCTCCTTGGATAACCCTTTCTGCCTCAGTGTTTATGCTTCATATGGCTCTATTCATCATTTTAAAAATTACGCATTATCTCCATCTTTACCTCTGTCACTTTTCCCTGAGCCTCTCGAACTTCATTGATTCCAACAAATTCTTCGTATCTGTCCCACCAATTCCTGCACGTTGCAGACACTTTTTGGAGGGAGTTTTTGCCCATAAGAGTCCCTGATTCTGTGATCCGATGAAGGAGACCCATGGCCATTTCCACTGCAGACTTGGCTTCGGGCCTCTTGGGCGCCGATGGGCAGTAAGTCCTCACCATGTGTAAATTCACTTTTGGACTCCACTTCATCAATGAATGGTGATACTGCAGACCACAGGACACTGAGGACACGCTTGATTTGTATTTCATAGGCCCCATGTCTTGAATTTAATTACTAAATAAAAGTGCTACAAGGAAGAAGAAGAGAGGTTATTGAAGAATGGCTGATTCGTAGCTCTTCAACTACACGTGTGATAAAACAAATCAATTCAGGAATGGCTAAACCACTGCTACTTTTACATGACTGCTTACCTAGAGAACTTTACACAATTTTCAACAAAGTGCAATTGTGCCACAGATTCCTGATTTTCTGTTAGGAAGTACTCCCACCATGCTTCATGCTTCTTGATTACTAATTCGCCCACGGCGTGAACAGCGATCATGTGCAGATCCAGGAGCAGCAGGAGAACTTCAGAGAAATTCAGTGCTTCAGCAGAGCAGTGACTGCACGACGTGGTTTGTGCCTTCACAATTCTGCAAAAGAACAGAAAAGGAAAAAAGGCAGAGAGGGGACAAAATCTTGATAAAAAAAGAAGTGTGGCTCAATCATTCTCTTTATCTTCCACTGCACAGATACAGAAAGTGCTGAAGGATGCAAAGACAAAAACACAAAGGACAGAGGGAAAACCCAGAAGTGCTGAACTGAATACAAGTATTCCCATGAAACTGCCTACAAAATAATAAACCAGGACGAGCCACAGGAACAGAAAAATCTCAGGCAGTGAATGCACAGCATTCCAACACAGGGCTGCATTTTAAAATGAGCTTAAGATTCTTGCTTACCTTGCAAAAGCAGGCTGCTACTTATGGCTTATTGTCTACTGATTTTAAATATGATCTTAGAGTTCTACTGAGGCACATTACTCTAAAAACTAGAAACTAGAGAACTTTTCAGTCGGGTTTTATATGAAATTTGAGTATGACTATATTAGGTTTTTGACTACTATAACATGAAAACATGAATTTTTATTGCGAACACTTGATAGCTGCTGCATAGTTTAAAAAATGATTTTAAAACAGCTTTCCTTGTTAATTTTAGGTGGTTAATACAGGCATCTCCACAAAAAAGTACTGAAACGGCCGGAAAAATTCTGACCACTACAGGTTCATTCCCCTGCTGACTAGCTCTAACAACTAATAATAACACCAAGTGGCATTATGAAAATCTTACCAGTTGTTTTACACGTGTAACATGTAAGATCAAACCCACAGGAACATGGAAATGAAAGAAGCTCTCCCTCCTGCCGGCATCACTCACACATCTCCTGTCAGCAGCAGTGCTGAACAGCTACTCTGCACTGCAGGCCACAGTAAATATAATCTCAATTTTGTCTCTTCCAGACTGCAAAACTCCCCTCTCGTACTGCAATACTACCTGAAGAGTTTAACCTAATATTCAGGGTACTGGAGAATAGAAAAAAAAAGAGGGGGAAAGTTGAGATTTAGGGATTTCTATGCAGACAGCCAGACTGCGATGACCGCGGTCTCAGCCTGAGCTCAGAGGACACAAGAGCGCTGTGTTAAACTGCGCTACGAGCCTGCTTCCCCTGTCGCCTCCCTCGCAAGCAGCCTTTCCTCCGCCGGCCGCCACTGACAGACGGCAGCGACACCCCAAAGCGCCGCGCACACGGAGCCGGCGGCGAGCGGCGCTCCGCGGCCCGGCCCTGCCGGGGCGGCACCGCATCCCGCGGCCGGCTTCTCCCGCACCACCGGCGAGCGGAGCCATGTCGGGCCGGGAGGGTAAGGCCGGGCCCGGGGCCGCGGGTGCCGCCCGGCCGGCCCCGCCCGGCCCTCACTGTCTCCTCTGTCTTTGCAGGCGGCAAGAAGAAGCCGCTGAAGCAGCCGAAGAAGCAGACGAAGGACCTGGATGAGGTAGGGCGGCGGGAGGGCCCCGGCGGCGGCGGCGGCTCTGCCCCGGCCGTGAGGGAGCCGGCGGGCCTGGCTGCCCGAGGGGCTCCTGCTGGCACTTACCGGAGCGGGCAGTGGCAGGACGAGGGGAATGGGCTCAAAGTCAAAGAGAGGCGGATTAGATTTGATGTTAGGAAGGTATTCTTGCCTGTGAGGGTGGTGGGTCCCTGGCACAGCCCAGAGAAGCTGTGGCTGCCCCATCCCTGGAGGTGTTCAAGGCAGGTTGAAACTTGGGGTAAGCTGGGCTTGTGGAAGGTGTCTCTGCCCATGGCAGGGCTTTGGAAGGTTGAAACTTGGGGTAAGCTGTGGAAGGTAACCTTGTGGAAGGTGTCTCTGCCCATGGCAGGGCTTTGGAACGAGATAATTTTTAAGATCCCTTCCAGCCCAAGCCGTTCTGTGTTTCCCTGATGCCATGAGGACATCCCGGCCGTGTTCCCCTGCTGGTGGATGCAGCAGAGCTGGGGGAGCTTGGAACGCCCTTGGCAGAGCATCAGGCTGCGAGCTGAGCTCGGTCAGTCACTGCGGCCCCAGCAGCCTGCCATTGTTGTGTCGCTTGGATAAATTAAGTACCAGTGAACTGCGTGTTAGAGATACTCTGAACCCTTACATTTAAGTATGGATGTCAGCTGCTGTTTCTGAGAATAGTGTGTGATGGATGAGGTGCCACTGTTTGGAAAAAGGCAAATACAATACCTCTTTGAAAAAGAAAAAAAACCCATAGCTTTCTAAATAAGTTTTATTGTTAAATAAATGGTATAACTAAAATGTGCTTACGAGGATCCAAGTTATAAACATTTGTATGTCAAATGATGTAATATTTATTTTTGTCTCAGCTCTGCAATACTGCGAGCACTTGGGAGCAACACATTGCAAGAAAAACCCCACAGAAGTGGATAAATGTGAGGGATTGATTTACTAGGAAAGACACGTTAGCCAACTGGAGACAGGAAAACCTGGAGAGAGAAACAGAGTATTCTGTTCTGTGAGGGGTAGGTAGGGGGAGTAATACATTGCAGCAAGGGAGGCTTTAACTGAAAGAAGAGGAGAGCTTTGGGGTTGTAAAGATGAGCCATAGACTGGTTTGGTGAAGAATCTGTGGAATCTCAGTTGTCAAGGTCCTCATTTCAGTTTCCCCAAAGTCCTGAGTGCCAAGTTGAAAATCTGGGTCCTTTTCAGCCTTGATGTCTGTGAAGAATGTGTATCTAAGAGACAGAGTGTGTCTGACTTCTCCTGGATTTGGAGGCTCATCCAGCAAGGGGCTCAGTAGCTGCCTTGCCTGTGCAATTTGCCAGCAGTCTCATTAGATTGCTTGGAATTAATACAAATTTATTGAACCCAACAAAAATGACATATGTGTTGGAGGATTTTTTTAAAATTAGGCTTTTTCTACAGGTCAAAACAGCCTTACTTTATTTACATTCTTTATAGCCTAAATGTTTTTGTTAGTGCCTGTTTGCTGGGCTTCATGTGTCACTGAGGGCATGTTCATGAATGGTGTTAGTGTAAACATCTATCAGTCAGAGGAATCATAATCTCAGAATGAGATGATGCCATGGGAAATAATTCCAGAAAGACCAAACATACAGAGTTAAAAGTTTAATTTGTGGTACAGCAAAAACCTTGGTGATGTATGCAGAATATTCTGCATATTTAGCATTATTCAGCCATCCTGCCTTGGTCCAGTCAGGTGTTTGTTGCTGCTGGAACATTACATTTGTTTTTCATTGCTTCTTAGTTGTTTTTGAATTTTTCTGTGGAAGAGATGTTAAAAAATGCTGCTGTTCTTTCCTTTAGACGGATCTGGCATTCAAACAAAAACAGAAGGAGGAGCAAAAGAAACTTGAGGAGATGAAAGCAAAAGCTGCTGGGAAAGGGCCTCTGGGTAAGTGAGGTGCCATCCTGGCAGGAGAAATGGGGTCTTGCTGGCTTGAAAAATTTAATGTTTTTGCTTGACAAACATAAAAAGGCAGGTGCCTCTGGGTTTTTTGACATTGATAAGTAAGTTGATGGCAGGTACAGATGATATGAAACAAATAGAGGCTATTTTTTTTTCTGTACATTTTCATCCCCAAATGATGCAGCTTTTGGTTCAGCAGGCAAATTGCTGTGTCTGACACATTGACTTATTCCACTAGTATGTGCAGGGACATTTCTGCTCTTTTTTTAGCAAACCAGTCATTTCAGATGTATTACATGTAATCCAGTAAAAATCCAGTGCTTGTCCTCTGAGAGGATGAATTTCTTCATTATAAGAAAGTGACTGGGGGCCAGTCTGGCTTCAATCCCTCTGCCTGAGTGACTGTAAAGTACACGAGACATGAAGTGAGTTCACAGGGCGTGTTCTGGAGGCCAATCTCTGTCTCAGTGACAGTCAGGGTGCTCACATGGTCTGCACTCGCCTTCGGCTCCTCCAGTGTTTGCCATGGTCCCATCAGAGGTGTCCAGGGGTGCACCCTGCCTGCCTCTGTCCTGTCCTTACCATCCTCAACTCGTTCTCTGTGGGGTGCTGGAGCTCACAGATCTCTTCAGAATTCTTTCTCTGCCCCTTTCTAGACTCAGTGTCAGTCATCTGGCCCTTGTCTGATGCTTTCCAGAGTAGGTAACAGCTGCTGTGTTGCTGTGGCAGGGCCAGCCTATTTCCAAGAGCCTTAGCAGAGCAGTGCTGTTGGAATCAAGTTGCAGTGCAGGGTCTGTTGCTGACCCTCAGCCCTTGCTGTCTGTCTTGGTGCAGCCTTGCTGTTCTCTTTCCTTCCCACTGGTCATACCTGACACAACTGGAGAAAAACAGCATTTACAGCAAATGCCACACCTGTTGCTGTGTCAATATCTGCTGTTCTTTCACTTCAGTGTCTTCAGTAATCTTCAGGGAATTCCAGTACCTGCTTCTGTAGAGCTTTGATCCCAGCTGGGGACTTTGGTGTAGGGATACCAATGCTTTTATTCCCTTAGCTTTGATTTTGATTTGACCATACTGCTCCTGCTGTATAAGAAATAATCAATGGAGAAACAAAGTAACTGTGGGAACATTTCGTTCCATTGTAGACTCACGGGGCATATTTGGATCCAGGAGAAACTTAATTTCTAATGTTAAATAAATCAGTGTTCACAGTAAGGTGTGAGAGATCAAAACCACACAGGAGGAGTCACACCTGCAGAAACAATTCACCAGTGGGACCTGGGCTGTGCAGGCTGTCTGGTGGGGGGATTCAGCTTGATGAGGAACTGCATTTGTAGCTGAGCTCTGTTCACAGTCACCTAACCAGCTGTGTTGTTTCTTTTGGCAGCCAGTGGTGGAATAAAGAAGTCTGGCAAAAAGTAGCTTGATCAAACTGCAGGGTAAGAAGTGGTCAAGTTACTGAATGGACCTGCAGACTTTAGAGAGTCTTGAAAACGCTCTGTCATTTGGGAAACAATGTACATTTTGTTTAGTCACAATAAATCCTTTTTGTTAAGATGGGATATTTTCTCTTTACCTGTAGGCTTTGTTTAAAAATGGCTTTACTGTTTTATACCGGAAATGAAACTTTTACTGAAGAGCATGTGTGCCCTTGTGCAGCCTGAGTGCATCTGGTCATTTGCAAGAATAAATTTCCACTTCTCCTCTCTTTTGACAGTGGAGTCAGGGCCTGAGTGTTAAAATCTACAGAGTTTTATTCTGAAGGCTTAGGTTTAGCTACAGTTGTCTGAGATGTGGCTGTAGCAGTGTGTGCTCTCCTAAGAGCTCTAAGTTTTCTTTGAACAAAAGTTGGGTTATACTTCCATCAGCAGCACCTTGGGGGCAGCCACTCCAAAACAACTCCTTTCTGTGTTCCTGCTTTAGAGCACTGCTGTGCCCTGTAGTGCCACTGCCTGCTGAACAAACACTTGCCTTTGTCCTGCAAATTGTCACTGCACCGTTTTCCTGAGCTACATATTGACATCACAGGAATGCCTTTGGGGTGGACAGGGGAGGGAGCAGTAGCTGAATTCTTGACATGAATAGCACTGGCTGAACACTGGTTATGGAGACTTGAAGGAAGGAATGTGCTGTTCCTAAGGTGGGAGTTACAGGGAAAGAATCAATTCAAAAGCCTTATTACTGAAGAGAAAGGGTGAGACAGGGACTGTTCCTGCTGTCAGGTAAAACTGATGGCTGCAGGGAGGGAATGGCTGCTGAGAACAGTGAGACTTGGGCTGCAGTGGCAGGGGGAAGCTACATGGGAAATTTGGGTCTGTACAGATTTCTGCTCCTAAGGAAGAGACCGCAGGTGTTGGTTGTTCCGTGCACAGGCGCTACTCACAGGGTTTCCTTGTTAAAAAAAAAAAACATTTTTAGATGACTAGAGGCGTTTGCTCCCCTCTGAAACGCGAGGCTCCGTTTCAGCAGGGCGGGAAGGGCGGGTGCCTTGGACACCTGGGAGCGGGAGGCGCAGGCCTTACCCTGCCATCAGCCGGCGCCGAGGGCCGCCGGCAGCGCATTTTTAGAAGACTAGAGGCGTTTGCTCCCCTCTGAAACGCGAGGCTCCGTTTCAGCAGGGCGGGTGCCTTGGACACCTGGGAGCGGGAGGCGCAGGCCTTACCCTGCCATCAGCCGGCGCCGAGGGCCGCCGGCAGCGCCCCTGCCACGCGGCGGGACCGGGATCAGGGTCGAGGTCGGGAACGGGACCTGGACCGGGATCAGGGTCGGGAGCGGGGCCGGGGCCGCACTCGAGGTCCCGCCCTTCCTCGGGCTCTGCCGCCCCCGCGCGGCGGCCGCGGGAGTTGCGGGCGCGGGCCGAGCCTCCGCTCCGCGCATGCGCCCCGGGGCGCTCCGGCCCGGCCCGGGCGGCTCCGGCCGCGTCCTGTGCCCTACAGCAGGACCTGGGTCGGGAACGGGACCGGGACCGGGATCAGGATCAGGGTCGGGAGCGGGGCCGGGGCCGCACTCGAGGTCCCGCCCTTCCTCGGGCTCTGCCGCCCCCGCGCGGCGGCCGCGGGAGTTGCGGGCGCGGGCCGAGCCTCCGCTCCGCGCATGCGCCCCGGGGCGCTCCGGCCCGGCCCGGGCGGCTCCGGCCGCGTCCTGTGCCCTACAGCTGCCCGGGCCCCGAGCTCACACAGCTGCAGACACAGTCTGTACCCCGTGTATCAGCCTCCTCTCACGTGGTTCATAGGAAGATCAGATCCCTGCTGCCCTCCAAAAGGGGATAAATCAGCCCTTGGCTATACGGAGGAAATTGTCTTCTCTAGAAGTACTTTTCTGGACATCAGATTGAGTCCTGCCAGCCAGATAGAGTGTGTGAAGGCTGAAATTCAAGATTGCATCATTCCTGCGTTTTGGATAAGGGCACCTTTGGCAACAGGAAACTGTTCACACAAGAATGCAGGACAAAGCTGCCTTAGCTATAGAGCAGGGACTGCTCCTGCATCTGTGCACAACGCTGAAGGCAGCACAGGCCAGCACTGGTACCTCCTGGGACAAAACAACCCATGAAACACAACCAGAGACAGTGTGCTCACAGCTGTGTGTGCTCAGTGAGAGCACGAGCTGGCTTTAGTCACGTTCATCAGTCACACACACCCCGATGGTGGCAGGTCCCTGCCCACCTGCACCCCCATTTCCACTGGTGTGCAACCTGGGGGTGGTTTGAATGAGGAGGAAGAGACAGGGAGACAGCACGCTCCAAAATATGAGAGAAATGAAACTTTGGCAGTGTATCAATAAGGAATTGTTTGCCCCAGGAATGACTGAATGAAATGAATGAGGTTGCTGATCCCAGCCAAGCTAACTTGAGGTGGTCTGAGGGGAGGACAGTGAACAGAAATGTCTGCTCCACAGCATGAGACAATATGCAAAAAGCATTTCAGCAGAAAAGCAAGACAAGAGGGCAGCAGACCAAATGGCAAAGTGACAGATCACTGCAGTGAGAGCTGTTCTCAACAGGCTTAACTTTAATGTAGGCACTGAATCCCCCTCCTGGCCAAGAGCCCTCCTGTTTAATATTAGGCTGTGGAAATGAAGCTAAACAAAGGAACACTTTGATTGTATCTTTTTACATAACACTAGGTAATAAATGGCATTTCATTCCTTTCTGCAGCTCCGGCTCAATGTTAAACTAATGCAAAGACAATATAACTCCTAAATCATAGATATACATAAAGTTATCACAGTCTAAAGGGCATAAAAAAGCAAAGTTCAAAAGGCAGTTGGAAATGGATGTCAATTAAAATAGCAGCAAAATAGACACAAATATTCTTTGCAGGGAAATCCACTGAAGGACAGGATTGCCATAATCAATTCAAGTCAAGCTCTGGTGTTTGAAAAGGCTTTGCCCACTCTTTATAGTTCAGCTCCAAGGAAATTATACTCTGCTCTGAATGGCTTCCAGATACTGACTCTGTGAGGACTTAGAAAACTTCTTTAGTATAACTCAGCCAGCCTGGAAAACTGGGCGTGACTTCCTCCAAGACATTTTTCATCCATGTTTTCTTCAAAATTGGGATAGTGGTATTATATTACTTCACAATAGTATTCTGAGGTTAAATTAATATATAACTTCAATGTACTGTTCCTGCTCTGCAAATTCCAGTGATGTAGGACCTGAGGCTAAATTGGAATTTGAGGACAGAATATGTTCTGCACGTCCTTCAGTCACACTGAACATCTTGCTGTTCACCAGGCTTGCAGAGCAGCCTGAGATCTGACTGAAGCACACAAGAGCAGCAAATCAGTTTTGTCTCTTGGCCAGTTCACTGTTGCATTTAAATGGTCATTATTTTGATTTATCTCTGCCATTTAATGATCTATGCAATTGCCCATTCTCACCTGCTTTTCTAGGTCTTATCCTTGTATGAGGCTTTTAAAATACAAGTGGAGTGATCTAGGTTACCTTTAGAAATAAAAATCTTCTACATGGCAAGTATTCTCATTTACTAAGATTCTGGAATAGAAGTTAGTTTGGTAGAGATTGGTCTGCTTTTATATTTAATGACTCCAATATCAGTTTTTGAAAAAAAATTAAATAAAGCCATATATGTAACTCCTTATGCAAGAAAAACACACTTGGGAGAATTATGAGAGCATCTTCTAAACAAGTAAGACAGTAATTTCAGGTGTCAGGGCTTCTGCTTCAGTGTTTTGTTTATTTTCAGCCTACCCATCATTATTTATTGACTTCTGCAATGTCTCCACTCTAAAATGCTGCACAGAATTATATATGGACCTCAGGAATGCAGAGGCCATGTGAACCACCAGTGTTCACTCCATAATATTCTGCACTTCCTAAAAGACAGGAGATTAAGTGAGGAACAAAACCATTCTGTTTGGCAGCAGAGGACCTACCATTTCCATACTGTTTCTATGAATGTCACTGAACTTGTAGTACCTCCAAACCAGAAGCAGCCAGGAGTTGCTCAACTAAAGGAGTTTATCTCTTGAAAGCAAGTGATTAATATAGCTTTAAGTTCAGGTGTAAGAGTCAAAGAGCTAAATTTTAATAAAGAGGTAATAAAAAAAACCAACAGGGCAAAATATAACTGTGATGTACAACAGCTTATGTGTCCAGATTTATTCTGATGTACTTACAGAAACTTATTTTTCCCATATGTAGGAAAATAATATTCTGTAGAGGACATAATTAATTATATTTCAGTTCTTTAGATCATGGTTCTTGCTTATCTTTTTGCTCAGCTCAAGTCACTTGTCTATAATAAGAGAGCATATCATCTAAACTTTGGTAAAGTGGTTCCTGATTTGGAGTGTCACTGCTGCTGGTCTGCTCTGGAGGTGCCATATCCTGAGTGCTGCTGACACAGGTCTCTGTTCCTGGTGGCACATCCTGGGCGCTGCTGCCACAGGTCTCTGTTCCTGGTGGCACATCCTGGGCGCTGCTGCCACAGGTCTCTGTTCCTGGTGGCATCTCTTGGGTGCTGCAGCCACAGGCGTGTGTTCCTGGTGGCACATCTTGGCTGCTGCATCCACAAGTGTGTATTCCTGGTGGCACATCTTGGCTGCTGAGGTCACAGACCTGTGTTCCTGGTGGCACACCCTGGGAGCTGCATCCACAGGTCTGCATTCCTGGTGGCACACCCTGGGCGCTGCATCCACAGGTGTGCATTGCTGGTGGCACACCCTGGGAGCTGCATCCACAGGTGTGCATTGCTGGGGGCACACCCTGGGTGCCGTAGCCATAGGCCTGCATTGCAAAGGGCATCTCAGGAGTGCCATAGCCATAGCTGTGCATTGGTGGCACCATTCCTGGTGCTCCATAGCCGTAAGCCTGCACTGGGAAGGGCACCTCGGGAGTGCCATAGCCATAGGCTGGCATGGGTGGTGGCACAGCCTGGCTGCTGTAGCCGTAACCCCGCAGCGGGGGTGGCACAGCTCGGGCACTGAAGCTGTAAGCCTGTGCTGGTGGCAGCATGTCCTCATCATCACTGCTGTCATCCTCTGCTGATGACACGCCCTGAGTGTCACGGCCACTGGGCTCTGCTGACCCTGGCTTAACTGGAACGTTGCTGTTGGAAGGCTGTGGTGACAGTGGCACATCTCCAGTGCTGCTGCCACTGCCCCCTGGCACCGATGGCCTCTGTTGGTTTTGTGCTCTCTCCGTTTCCAGTTTTTCAGAGGAGGTTTCAGAACTGTTCAAATTCCGACCTCGGTGATAATCATCTTTCTTTTCTCCCAAAAAGTAATCAGAAGGTGGTGCAAATTCTGGGTCTCGCTCATCTCTCAGTTCTTCCTGTTTCTTTTCCCATTGTCCAAACATCAGTTCTGTCAGAAACAGGAAAATGGTAGATTTAGCATAGATTTCAAGGTCTGAAGGTCAGTCAGACAGGAGGGAAAACAAATTGGCAAACAAAGAAGATGCAACTGTTTAAAGCCACCTGAAGTTCCTTTTCCACCTCATACTACATGGAAATACATGAATCTAGTGCAGATTCCTTCAGTGAACCACAGTTAGTTCACTTGGCATTTTAGAGTAAGCTGTCCTCTGCTTTCTGAGTGTATAATTTGCTGCAGTGCTGCCTGGGTATTGGTGAGATACCAGGCTTCATCAGAGGAAGGAAAAAAACAATGTCAGAGAGGATAAAGATTTATGAGATAGGATCTGAAAGTTTGGGGGTTTAATGGAATCATGAAGTTTCCCCTCACAGTGATGTTCATTAATGGAGCATAAAGATTGAAAAGTTGAAAAAGCAAAAGATTGATAAAGAATCTGGAAATACCAGTATTGCATAGAAGAGGAATAGTGCTGTTATAGCACTAAAGAAGGTGAGCATTTATGTGCTTTGTCTATTCCTTGTTTGCTTTTACTTAGAAGTTATGCATCAGATTAGAAGAATGTGCATGAGCTTAGATTAATAGTGCAAAATGAGTCAGTAGGTTTGGGAAGGACCTACAAGGTAGCCATCACTTTGTGACAAGGAAGGTGCTTCAAAATGGGACACAGGCACTGAAGTTGTCTCTTCTGAATCATGTTTTAATATTGTGCTGTGTGATATTTGTATGATACATCTACCAGGTAGCAGAAACCACAGGAATATATCAAGAAAAGATCACACTGTACATCTTAGGAAGTACAGAATTTGTCATTCTGTCAACCTGTCAAGATCATTCAGAAATTCAGTAACTCATATAGAAGAAAACTTGTGGGGACATTACAGCAGCTACTGGCACTAAGAAATCCTTGTCATCACTGCCCTGGACACTGGAGAGTCATCACTACCAAGGTAGAAAGGATTTCTGCTTCTCAGTTTTACCATACTTTGGTCACAAAACAGAAATGAAAGTGGCAGTGTACATGCTCTCTTCCAACAATGTTCCTGAATCCACAATTCCTTACCTTTGCCTTTATCCCACTCTCGGACATAAGGCACTCCAGGCTTTGTATCTCTCCTCTCCTGGATGATGACCTCGACCTTCCTACTTGCTGCAGTAACTTTTGGAGGTTCTGGTTCCTCAGCAGCACCTTTCACCTCTGTGTTACAGGAAGAGATAGTAGAGATTGTCAGTTACAGAATAAAATCTGTATGACTCTCACAGGTAAAAAAAAGAACATTTATTTCCATACATCTCCAATAAGAAGAGTATCTCTATTTCATTTACTGGATAAAACAATTTGCATTCTTATTCTTCTGAACAACCATAACAGTGAGCAGTGGCACAATGCTGTTCTTCATTTCCAGAACACTTCACAGTTAATCATTTGCATGGAATTCTGACACAGTAAAATATCAGCTACATTTTCCAGTGGGAGACAGTACAAGTTGACTATCAGTGTTGTAGGGGAGACAGCACAGAGAGAGGATTAGAATTCAAATTCATTATCCTAAATCCTAGAGGCATCTGTATCTCCAATTCACACACTGCACTGAAACTGTCAGAGTGTCTATTGAACGATATCAAAATTGACTTGTTACTGCTTATTCTACCTCATCTTCATAGAAGAAAAAGCCAGTACACTGTCAGCAGCTCTAGCCTCAATATGCATAATTAACCCATGTAATTCCTGCTGTCAGCTGTGAATCACAAAAAGGCTACAATCTACATACTGTATTTCTACCTGCATTATTAAGCTATTTCTGGCATGATTTTATATCTACACACAATTATATCAGCACTCATTATCCTAAAAGTTATGTTAATTGCATATATAGAATACATAATACCAATACATTGAATATCTAAATGAATATAAATTAGAGTCTGTTGGTCCACAGATCAAGAACAAGGTGAAACAGCAAGTATTTAACTTAAAAAGACAGATCATACCTCCATTCTCCAGTTTTTCTGCCTCTTCCTCTAATCCAGCTTCCCTTAACTTTTTAATCTTCCTTGCTCGAAGTTTGGACAGCCTTGCATCTAGAGCTGCCTTCCTCTTCTCCTTCAGCTGTTCACGTTTATTTCTCTGATCAAGTGTCTTAATAGCAAAGGGAAACATGAATTAATCTTCATTTGTTATTATAAACAAGTACATATCTTTCTTCACAAAACAACTAAAAGCAATCCTAATCAAGTACCGGGTTTCAACAGGAAAAAAGAAGCCAAATTTCTTTGGCTTCTTCAGAGTCAGTTGTAGGCATCACCTAATGTAGCACTTACACAACAAATCAAAGACAGTAACCTCTGAAACCACTCTGCCCTTGCAGCCCAGTCTGCTCTTCACTCTCATACCTGCTCCCTCAGCATATCCAGGGTTGCCCGTTGTTTATGCCTCAGTTCTTGGTCCCGAGAAAAGGCAAAGTAACCAACACCGAGCTGCCTGGCCTCTGAAAAGGAGAAAAACAATAGGTTTAAGTTAAATTCAGTTCATAATTGACAATAACTACACCCTGCAGGCACCCTGCTTTCAGCGTGGAATTATTTCCAACACTGGACTGGTTTTAGATGGCTAAAAAAGGCTTGCTTTAGATAATACATAAAGTGAAGCTTCTTGAAGGAGAACACAGGATGAGGTAGAGAAACGTTTGAGAAAAATACAATTTGAAGAAAAAGTAAATCTAGACTTATGTACTGGTAACTTTCAACAGTTATCACACACGTGGCTTAACACACACTTACACTTTGCCACACAGGCACAGAAGTAACTTTCCCTTGCTCCCTCTACAACTGATTTCTTTGGTGATACAAAGTATGGCACTGTACCATTTTCTCGAATGTCCTCATAATGTATGGGTCCCATGGGTTTTCTGAGGGCTTCTTCTTCTTCCTTTTCCCACTGCTGCCTCTGAAGTTCTCTTCTCATGTCTTCAGATAACAGAGTATTCCCATCAGGTTCTTGTCTAATTAAAACAAATTAAGGATTACAGAGCAGAATTTACCAGTCTGTCAGTACCAAACAGTGCAAGTACAATTTGGTCTGATCCACTATTGCAGTTTCCATGTTACACAGATCACTGCATTCACTACTTAGTGATACAGTGCTGATGACTATGGTGCATGGTCAAGACAGAAATACAAAGCTGCCTCTAAAACAAGATACTGGTACAACATGTTATTAAAAGACAAATAAAATTGTATCCTTTCTCAGAAGATTTGCAAAATAATTCCAAATCACAAAATGGGAGATGAAATAATCAGTTATTGGCATCTGTGGGGATTCTAGCAATCACATATAGGAACATTTCAAATTTAATGTAAGAAAATGAAAGGTATTTGAAGTAACAAAAAGCTAAGCATTTACACAAGAGATCTACTCAAAATATTAATATTCAAATATTAACACACAAGTATTAATAAAGAAGTAATTTTAACAAAAGAGATGTTAAACAGCTGTTTAACAGAAGAACAAAACCAAACAAATGGAGGTCTAACAAATTTACTTTGAATATCATGAGGAATTTGGAATTGTTAAAAGACTACCATAAATTTCCACATTAAAGAGAACAGTAATAACTTTCCTGGCATTGTATGGAAGGTATAATGAAACACAAGGACCCCAGTTTTTAAAAGATGCAACAAATATCTAAGATTGATTAACACCTTTCTCTACAAATTATGCAAATCTAGAGAAAGCAATAACATCAATTCTGGATTGAGAACGGGGTGACAAAGCACAGCCTCTCTTCCTTTTCATTAAAAAAAAAGTTAAACACTGAGAGGAACATGCAGCTCCATTAGAGAAACCACACCTTTTCCCTTGAAGTTCCTGATCCATTTTAAGCAGGCTTGGTAAATCCTTCTTCATACAGCGTCTAGATCGGCCCAAGAAATCAACATAATCAACCCTGTAATGAAAGAAAAAGAAAAGTGATGCAAAACTTCTATTTGCAGATTAGTATTAATCTTACCCAGAAGACAGAAGCAGTGACCCTTTCCAAAGAGTGTCTGTCACCTCCCAGTCTGTGTGTGACAGTTGCTCCTGCTTTTCATTTAATGCACTCGCAGATTAAGAGCACAGTTCTGAATGGGGCATGTAACAATTCTACCAGACATTTATTCTATCTCCCTTAGAGACCCCTGCTCACCTGGGCAATAAAATGGTGTACAAAATGTTCAAAAGTAACTATGTCACGTAGTTTTCACAACAAAATAGAACTCAGCCTACTGTTTGCTTCCCATGGTGAAGATAATGATGCAGCATTGACTTCTTGTGGATATGAAATTGCTACAATACATTTCAATTATTGGTCTAAAGGCCATTCAGAACAGACTGATAGTGTGCATTCAACTGCATAACAAAGGCTGACTAAAACACAAGCAAAATGTTCCTCTGAAGCTATTGTGCTTCTTATTCAACTCTTTATAGTACTGAACACCTGATTTACAGTTGTTGAAAAAGCTGTTAAGAGCTACACTTACTGTCCTGTAATGTGGAAAGCTCTTTAGCATCAAGCTGCCTCAATTATCCTATTCTAAAGAATATTACATCTGAAAAAGTATGACTGGCAGTCTAGCTCCCAGCCCCCAAACTTTTAAAGATCTGGGCTTTTACTAAGTCCTTTACATAGTTTCTAAGGATATCTACACTTCAGTATTTGAAGAATGAAGGTCTGCTTTGTAGTGGTTACTGCTGGTTTAAACTGATTACCAGAAGTAAAATCTCTTGTTCCGTAAACATTTTAAACAAATGGGCAGTGAAAATGTTTAGTCAGGACTGGTTTCATAATCATTCCTAATGTCTCAGGTGAAAAAATAGTAGTTACTTGGAATGACAAAGAAAACTGTCAGAGACTATTTGCTGTGCTGCAGCAAAGTGGAAGAAATGCTGAAAATTGTGCTCTTATTCCAACCAGAGTTTCTCTCCTTTAAGGGAAGGCTGTACAATTAAATGATTGCTCAGTTTTAAGTCACTCACAATTAAGAAAGGAACATGAATACCATAAAATCCTCAAGTTTTGCTAAAATACATTTCTTCAGCACATCAAAGCATAAAATGGCACAAATACTGTGATGTGATGACTACTTGCATAAACTATGCAACAAAATAAGAGAGGAGATGATGTTGTCCCCCCTATAGCACATTGCCTTCATTGCAATTTCTCAAGATCCAAGATGTAGATTCTATTGCAGTGTTACCTATGTGGGTGGAAATGAAAGATACATGGAGGACTGTCTTTATAGGAGAAATGAAAGAATCTTAACACCTCCTTGTCAATGCGTAGTATTAAACAAGAAGGAAAAACAAAGGTGCCACTTCACACATTTTGGTAAAGTATTTTCTCATTAAATTCTCAAGAATAAGAGTGGCCAGGACAGATGAGCCCTATCAGTATCACCAACCATTCCTCATCCGGGTCCTCTGGTGGTGGAATGTCTGCTTCAGGCTGAGTTTCCTCCTCATCTGTGTCTCTTTCTGAAGTCTTCCCAGCAGCTTCACTCTGCCTCAGCTCCTGTACTTCGTGCTGTTTGTCTATGATCTTCTGAGTGAAATCCACCAGGTACAAATCCTCAGTTTCTTCATCTAAGGCAGAAAATCGATTCTTAGCGAACAGCCATGAAAAGAACAGAACTGAGCACAAAATCAATACCAAATAGCTACAATCAGCTTTTCAGCTGCCAGCAATGCCCTTGACCACAGTATTGGGGAGTACTTAAATCTCATTCAGTGCCAAACAAACCCAGAGCTATCAAGTGGCTCCACAGTGATAACGTCTATTTCTGAATCGAAGTTTTGGGGCATTGTGTGCAGTACAGAAAAGGCTGCATTCTCTGCAGCAAAACATTCTCTGCTCTTTAACTATTTCATAGGCAAAGGATTTGTCATATAATGGCTCAAATACTTTTTTGATGCTTAACATTTGATATGTTTGCAGGACTCAAGCATTCATGAGGGTAGATTTTAGGAAAGCAGAAGAAAGAAGTGGTGGGGTCATGTGGATGAAGATGGACACCAGTAAAGAAAACAGATTAATTTCAAGGAGATTTGTATTCTATTTTAATAATTACTTTTTGAAAGGGACTGAATGTGTGAGAGAAGAAAGGAACAGATTAGCATTCTCTATCCCTATTAGCTGCATGACTGGCATTCATATGCCATGACTCCTCTCCTGATCCTCTTCTCCTCATAAAGGCCCAACAATTAGAATGCAGGACAGAGCATCAGCAATGCAATCCAAAGATTGCACAATAGAGAGAAATTTTTCTTTGTTTTTCTAAGATACTGTATTGAAAAACCAAAATATAGTTCATCCACTTAATGAATGAGTGAAACAAGCCCCTAGTGCTTTACCAGGTCAGGGTGCCCTTCAAAAGTAATTTTATTTTCTCCAGTAAATGTATATTTTTCCTTCTCAAAGTGGAATAAACCATGACAATCAGTTTGTATAATAATTCCAAGACTTTATACATATATAAATGCTTATTTTGGAATAGTATTGTTCACCTGGAAAGTCTCCTTTTGTCATTTTCTCATACAGCTTTGCTTTCTCTTCAAGCTTCTTCCTGAAAAAAGAAAAAAAAAATGAACCTTGCAATGCTACCAATTCCAAGCACATTTTAAAGTGACCTATTTACCTTATATAAATGGAATAGAAAAATCCTGGGAGTGCCTGAGGTGTTTATTAGAAGCTGACTTATGCCTGGCTTTTGTTTTGAACCTTCACTAGCGTTTCTGAAGATATAATATTTTCCAGTTCCAGAATTTATATTGAAAATAATTTTAGTGAAGTTACAAATTTAATCTCAAATGTAATTTGTCAAGTAGGCAGAAACATGATGTTAGAAGAATTCCACCTTTATCTAAGTACTGTGGTCTGTCAGATAAATACTGGAAACAAAACTATGATTTGCAGCTACTGAAAAACAGTTTTATAGGAAAAAAAAGAGATAACACACTTACACCTTATCTTAGAAACTGAAGAGAAAATCTTAGCTAATTTATAAAATTTCTAAGAGCAAGGTACTGTTTAGAGAAGCACAGCAAATGATTTATAAATGGCATTTTCCACATATACCTTTTTGTACCACTAACCCATTTAGAAAATGGGGTAATTCTTGAAAATGTGAGCCATTTTCTGTCAAGCCCAAGAAACACCTTGCTATAGAATTCTAACATGTCACTGCACTGGCTGGTAATTCTGAAGATGACCTAAAAATCAGTAACCTGACACATTTAGACAGCTGTGACAATGTGAGTTCATGAGAGCATGAGACTGCTGGGATGCAGTTTGTACACTACTGGTAAAAAGTATGGATGATGCTGGAATTACTGGCTGCTCTAATGAGAATTGCTGGTCCAAAAAACTCCTTTCTATGCTTTCCTAAATACCAAAGAAAAAAATTCTGCAAAGTATTTGCAGTATTTCTTACAGAGCCTAAGAGCTACCTTGATTTATCCAATATATCCTGCTCTTCTGCCTTCTGCTCAACATCTTTTGCAGCTCGATTTACAACTCCTGTGTTCTGTTTGGTCCAGATACTTGGTTTCTGCAGACGAAAATTTTGTAACAACAAATAAAGAGATGAAAATATTAAAAATTGTAACAATTAAAAATATTTCAACTCTATAATGCAAATGATGCACATGAATCATGGAAGGCTTTGTAAATAACATCTTACACGTGTTTGACTTCAGACCAATCCTGTGCTGTACAGGTTGCAGGATGGTATCATAGTTAAGGGCAGGCTGAGAAGCTAAAAATTCCACAGGTACTCAGAAATCAGAAAAAATATATTCTGGCAAAGATGTTAAGGTTAAAAAAACCCCAATCTTGCTGATTAAATACTAACAAAGCCAAAAATTGTTTCTATTCTCTGTTGTCTCCATTTTAGATAAAAAATACAGTCAGTTGGCCTGTTTGCAGCATAACACTGTAAATGCTGCATGTGCTTCAAATATGGTAGGAGCAGCACATTCTGCTTCTAGAGAGCTGCAGAATGAACAAAACCCAAAGTGCAGTATAGAGCAAACAAGAGAGTAATTGTGTATTCATTATTGTACACCAAAAACAGATAGCAGAGCATTTATCAAGGGAGTTCAGTGACTCTAGAACAATCTCTCATCCTCCATCCTGCAGCATCATATAAAATCCTCTAATAAAAAAATAAACATATTTTGCTATAATTAAAGGGTGTGCATCCTTGGGGAATGAAGATTAAGTGGGGATTTAGATGGGCAGAAGCACATGACTAAGCTTTCTGTGCACAGGAATCTCACCCAGAAATGAACTTTAGAGAACGTTCTCATCATGTACATTTTATATTTCACTAGAAACACAGGTGAGCATTTACTACTATTTAGATTTGAGTATAACTTCCTTACTTTCAGGATAAAGACAATGACAAAAACAACAGTGGAAGATTATTTTTACCTTATTAGAAGTTCTGGGCTTTGCAAAGACACCAGCATCTTTCAACAGCTTTTCTTTCTTGAATTCCTCTTGCTTTCGGAAGAGTTCGGCTTTGAGATCCACCAGCTGCACCACACAAATAACAGATCACAGGCACAGGCATCAGCTGCTGCAATAAATAAGTGGATCTCTAGGAAAACAATCTGTTACTTACAGTTATAGGAGCATTTAATTGCATTTTTATGTGGAACTTTGAAGCACTGATCTGATCACTAAGATCACCTTTTACAGCAAACAAAATAAAGAACCACAGAATGCAAATTATGACTAGGGATTAAAACAATCCTCAAAGATATCCTTGATCTTTTGCTACACACTGAGGATAAGAGAGGCATAGCTCTGTCTAGATTTTACCAGCCTCCTAATGGCAAATAAATAGAGAAGAAGCAATGAAAAACACTACTGGCTATGAGAACTTTTAACCATTAGATAATTAATAAAATCCTGTCTCAGAAAATAATTGATAAAAGTTTGCTATAGTAAAATACATTTTCTCCCCACTGCTTTATGTACTGTTTAATAGTTTTAGATTTTCTTTATCCTTCTTTTTAAATAAACACATGAGTAGCATTGCCATCTGTGACCAAGCTCCATCTCAGCTTTTATTACGAAACATCATGGGTAGGGGTGTTATCTTGGGATCACAAAACTAGTTCGGAAGAGGATATTATGCTACTTTTCCTGCAAGTCCTACAGATGACAAAATTCAGAGCTGCACATTAAACCAGGAAAGTGCAAAACTTTGGTATTAATATTTGTCCCAAGCACTATAGCATTTGCTTTTCAAGTCCCTGGGACAACGAAGTGCAGTGTCTTAAAAATCACTCATTCTCCCTTCTGCTTAGAAGTGATTATCCAGAAATTCAATGTAAAATATTTCACAGTTAACTATTAGCATACATTAACTATTTACATAACTCTTCATCTGAAGTGTCTGGCAGAATCTCTCGTGAGCGTCCTGGAGAGCAGCGAGGGGCAGCACCTCACCATCCCTAAGGGTGGGGAGTTCATCTGCCACAGCACAGACCTCCTGCTCTCCAGGAAAAACGCTTTTCCCTGTTACGGGCTGATTTAATCATTGCATCGGGAGTGCAAACCCAGGCGGGCAGGCTCGGGTTTGGAGCGCAGGGCAGGGCGAGTGCCCGGTCAGGAGGGTGAGGGGACAAACCCCCAGCCCCGGCACCGCCACAGACCCGGTATGCGGCCCATGAGCACAGCCCTTGAACCCAGCGCCTGCTGCAGGGACTGCACACAGCCCCTGAACCCAGCTCCCGAACCCAGCACCTGCTGCAGGGACTGCACACAGCCCCTGAACCCAGCGCCTGAACCCAGCCCCTGCACACAGCCCCTGAACCCAGCCCCTGAACCCAGCGCCTGCTGCAGGGACTGCACACAGCCCCTGAACCCAGCACCTGCACACAGCCCCTGAACCCAGCACCTGAACCCAGCGCCTGCTGCAGGGACTGCACACAGCCCCTGAACCCAGCACCTGCACACAGCTCCTGAACCCAGCCCCCGAACCCAGCGCCCGCGAGCAGCAGAGCACCGGCCCCTCCCCGCACCAGCGGATCCCCGGGCGAGCCGCACGGCCTGCGCCGGCCAGGCCCTGCCCGCCCGCGGGAGCGCGGCGGCTGAGCACGCCTCACAGCCCTACAAGCCTCCCGGGCAGGTGCATGGGTTCACTCTGCCTCTCCCCGCTCAGTCACTCACCGAGGACGCGGCCACGTCCAGCGGCTTCTTCCTCCGGTCCATGGCGGGACCGGCGCCGCCGCCTCCTTCCCGCAGGCCGCCTTGCCGTAAAGCGCGGCGGGAGCGCGGCGCTATCGCGACAGTGCGCTGAGGGCGGCCGGGCGGGCGCTGCCGCCATGTTGGGGAGGTCAGGCGGCTTCTCCAGTTTTGGGAATCCCTGCCCTCAAACTGAGTGAGGAAATGAGCGTTTGTGGCAGGTGCGGGACAAATCCTTCAGGCGTCCCGCTGGAAATGCCCCTGTGCAGCCGCGGGGCGGGAGCTGCTGCTGTTGTGGCGGAGCTGGGGTGCCCTGGGCTGGCAGGACTGCAGGCTGGCCCGCAGCTGGGTGGGGCTCGGTGAACATGGTTCAAATTTGGCATCAGGGTGGGTTCATTACCCTGTGCCAGTGCCGAGTCACACGCTGAGGCCAGGTATTCCTATTTTTTGTTCTTGTTTGTGCAGAGTGTGGAGCTGGGTGGTGACCCATGGGAAGTTAATTCACCGATCATCCAAAGTTCACACTCTTTATACAACATAATAAATAAAGACATCAACATTCTTTGGTTACAGATTACTCAACTCCCCTATTTGCTAGTTCTGTCTCGTGCTTCTCCTGCTCATCAATCTGCAGGCAGTTCTTCCCTCACTTTGGGTCTGGGGCTGTTTTGAGTAGGTGGTCAATGAGTTGTCACAATGTCCTACTGCCAGAGTCACCTTTCCCCAGGTACTGCTCAGTCCTGACTTCACTCTTGGTGCTTCTCACCCAGGCAGCCCATTCATTTGGGAATTGTCTTCTCTTTTTTCTTAAAACAGATTAGCCAAACGTATGATGCTCACAGTGCAATTGCCTGATCATAACTATCCAGCCATAGCTACTGATTAACACCTAAAAAAAAGAGTAAAGTTTGTCTCAACCCCCTATCAAAACCTTGAGAGCCTCATAACTTGGGAAGTTTGGTACCATCAAGAGAAAAAAACCCAAAAAACAAACCACACCAAAAAACCCCCAAACAACCAGGAAAAAACCCAACCAACCCAAACTAAAACTCTCTTTCCTACCTCAGCTGGTGAGTGCCACACAGATGAGACCTGAACATCACAGCCAAGTACAAACCCACCTCCACGTGATGGATCCAGCTCTGCAACCTCAGAGAGCAGCACAGGTGCTCTTGGGGAGTGAGATTCAGAGTTTTAATTGTACTGGCTAACTCTTTATACAATTTTTTCATCCCCATGAAGAAAAAGGACTCTCTGATAGGTTTTAATTGAAACAGTGAAGATCATAGTTATCTGTGGTTGCAAGAAGAAGCTGCCTCTCACTTGTCTTTAATAAAGTGGAAAAAAATACAAGGTGCTCTGATGTTGCTGCTTGGCAGTGTGACAGCTGATAGAAGCACCAGATAAGTTCTGGGTTTGGAAATGTATTGCTTTTGTGTTTGGCAAGCTGGGTCAGGCCTGTGTTTATAGTTTATGGACACAGAATTGCAAAGCTGACAGGATAATCAGTTTCCAAGAAAGCTGCACCTGTATTCTGGGGAGTGTGAAGTGTGCAGTTGAGAAAGAACAATTTCTGGCCCTTATGAAGCAATTTCTGACAGTGAAGCTGTCTTGCTTTTGGCTGTTTAAAAGGGAAATTGGTGAGAGACATCAGGTACAGGGAAGTGCAGGTCACATTAGAGCCATAAAGTATTTTAATCTGCAATGGAAGAGGAGAAATGCACATTACTGGAAAATAGGACAAATGAATGAAAACATCTGTGCTGTTCTAATTAAATCACACTTCAACAAATCATTCCTTGTTGCCTGTTCAAACCTCATCTAGTGACAACACTGAGAAGGAAAACCAGCCCAAAATCACGCTAGAGTTTGTTCTTAAAATGTTCCTTTCAGGTCGAGGGTGAGATTCATCACCAAGTCTTTAAGGAAAATCTGTGCTACTGAATTGCATGACAGGATGTGGGAAAAGGAATTAATCCTAGAAATTCCAAGCTAGCTCGTGCTGCTGTGAGGATTGCAGAGCTGGCCCTTGTGTTCTTGCAAGGAGCTGTGGAATGTCCTGTGGGTAGCAGAGGTCTGGCCAGGCATGTCTGGATTGGGAATGAGGCAGTGTCAGTGGTGCTGCACAGAACCGAGGGACGTGTGTGATGAGATAACCCTCAGCTCAGGTTCTCTCTCCTGGAGCATCAGCAGGGAGGGAAAACCACGGAGCAGGATAGAGGGAGCCCTGCTGGAGCCGTGGGATTGCTCTGCTGCTGAGCTCCAGGACAGAGGGAGCCCTGCTCCTGCTGGAGCCATGGGATTGCTCTGCTGCCAGGCTCCAGGACAGAGGGAGCCCTGCTCCTGCCCAGCTGGGGCGTTGCTCTGCTGCTGGGGGATTCAGCACCGAGAGCACACACAGACAGATGGCTCTGGGAACACCGTGTGTCGCTTCAGTGGTCTCGGATTTACAGCCTAGGAACTGACAAGATTTCACACATATGGTTCCCCCAGAAAGGCTCTGTCGACTCTAACCTGTGAAGGGCTATTCTGTGCATGTTTTTAATCCAGCTCACAGGAATTAATAAAATTCCAGTGAGGGAGGAATAAGAACACTTCAAATTGTGAAGCAAAACCAGCTTAACATAAAGAAATGAGGTGGGGAAGGGGAGGAATCTGTTTCAGTGTACAGTAGAAGCTCAGTGTGGCTTTCCTGTGCTTATTTTTATCAGGAATAACTGATATAAACTACCATGTCTGATCTCAGACTGCTGATAGCCCTGAATTCCTGGGGAATAATTGATTCATCACTTCCAATTAGTATGCTGCTCATTTTAGAATGAGATCTAATTGTGTTTGTTTCCACAAAGCTGCATCAACACAAAAAGCTTGTTTATTATTTTTGAGGAAGATTTGGGATCGCAGTGGACTGTTCTAAGGGGATTTTTTATAAAACAGTGGTGTTTCACTGTCTCAGGAAATTGGTGAGAGAGGCTGTACAAACTTGAAATGAATCAGTTTCAAGCTTTGGTGTGGATTTCTCCTACACACCCCCAACCAAAACTTGTAGGAGTTCCAGACCAAATGATGTTTGGAGGTTTTGTTCTTCTGAGACTGATTCTCTTATCTCAGACACTAAGGTTTCATCCTACCCTAAGGCCTTGATATTCTATCTTATTTTTCTATTTCTTGGCTTTAAGATGAAATAAAACTGTAAATAACAGCTGGACATTTTGTGAGATAAGCCCTAGTGCTAGGGCATTCAGTCCTCATACACTTTCAGAGCCACTCAACATAAGGCAACTCATCCATGTTTTTCTGAGGGATGCAGAAATTCCTTCTGGCTTTCTTTTATATTTTTTTTACAATCTCTGAATTTTAATCTCAGAAGTTATTGTATGAAAGAATTTGTGTTATGTCAACAAAAATATTTTTTTTAAAATAGAGCAAGTTTTTCTTTGCTTTCCATAGTTTGCATGATCTTGGTGAGCAGGAGTATTTGTGGAATTTGTGTGTCTTAGTATGTGTGAGGCCAAAAGTGACTGTGGATCAAGCAAAACGATTTACAAACTAATCCTTTCAGCACCAGAGGTCCAAAAGTGTTTCTTTCCTTCCTAGAAAAAATTACATCTCTTCCCAAAATCAAGTCCCAGCGTATCTGTTTTACTTGCTTCTCTAGATTTTCCTAAGGGGACCTGAAGCATAGTCTACACTTCTAAATTCTTGTATTGTATTTTCATAAATGTCAATTGCTGCAGCAAAACAAACAAGCAAAAAAAAAAAAGAAACAAGCAAAAAAAGAAATTTTCCCTTTGGTAGAAAGTCTAGATGGACACTGTGGATTATTTTTTTCAGGAAGACTAACAGAATCATTTGGGTAGGTAATTGGCAGGTGTGCAGACTAGGAGAAAAAAATCCCAAAGGTTTGATAAATGCTTGAGTTCTTTTGCATGATCCTAAGCAGAAAGTCAAAACCAGAAGAGGTACATAGTAAGTGTTTTACTGGCATGTATGTGACTTTGGTTTTTTGCCTGTTGGGTCACAAGCTGCAATGCCAGATTGCTTTTGTGCTATCTTAGTTTTGCTTGCAAACTAAAAATTGGTCTAAAAAAAAAAAAGGAAAAAGAAATCCGATGATGACTTAAAGCTGAATTGAATGGTGATCTAAAGGAGCCTTGTCCTGTTCTGTGGGAACCTGTATTTTATGTTCAGTTTTATAATGCACTTTAAATCATGTCTTATGTCTACAGTGTTGTCCTCTCTTCTGTCTTCATCTATGTTATGAGAGAAGGAATGCTGTTATGTGCTAGTTGTATAGAAATTGTAATTCCTCTCAAATACAGCTTGAAAGTAGGGATTTCCTAAGAGCATCCAACAGCTTCAATCAGAAATAGGCTTAATGTCATCTTGCAACAGAATCTGTAGGAGTGACATAGTTACTGCAACCAGAATTAGCTTAGAAAACTGTTATTGATAGCCATGATTTTTTTAGTATACATTTTAGCAAGCTTTACTGCAAATGGGCATAGTCACCCTTCCTCCTTTGGGGAATGTGTGCATGTTCTTAAGTCTGATGAACATAAGAAAAAAAATTGAGCATGAGTTCAAAAGAATAGTTTTTTTGCTGTTTTCCTGTACTAAGAGATACCAGTAGATATATTTTCTACACTGAAGATGTAAAAAGGAAACTTCCAAAGGAAATTGCCTTATCAATTTCATTGGTGTGTGGCTATTTTCATCCCATGAACAGGAATTCTAATTTATTTGACTACATGTGTTTGTGGTTTCTGTCTAGTTGGCATAAAAGACAAACATGCCCTTTAAGGAATTGCTCAGCTCCTTGTGATTTACCCATTCATCTGTCCACCCTTCTTTCACCATCTGCTTCTTCTGCTGTGGACACGCGAAGTTGCTCCATGCCTGCAGCAAAATGCAGCCTGGATGGTTCACAGTCAGGCTTTTGCAGGCAGCAGCTTTCCTGTCCTTGCAAGCACGGATGGACTTGCCTCTTTGTCAAGGTGTAGCCCTACAAAGAAGCTGGGTTTTGTATTCCAGCTGCACATCTGCAAACTCCTTTGAGACACTACAGACT